AGGGTGCACTCAATGTCGTCATCCGACTGTTCAGAGTGCCACTCCTGTGGGCAGCTTGGCGACCCCCTGGGTGCTGGCCACATTCCTGGCTCCAGGGTGCAGGGTTTTGCCATGAGCCATGTGCACTGAGCCTCCTCCTGGGCTTCGTGGGTCCTGCAAGAGGACAAGGGAACATCTGTGGCTCTGCTAGCTGGGTTGCGGGAGGCTTGCAAAGGTGTCTTCTCCATGTTTGGCCAATTGCCAGCATCTTCATTTCTGCTCTTGCCTTGTCTTTGTTCCTGGCTTGTGGTGTGCTGGGCCCAGGTGGATGCTTCAGCACTCACTGTGTTGTCTCTTGGGCAGGAGGCCTCTCACCGGTTCACCTTGCCCGCCAGCGGTTCGGGAGGAGCCGTCAAGCAGGAGAACTTTGTGCTGAGCACAACGGGGTAAGTGGCTGTGGTGGTCAGTGGGTCGCTGCTGCTCTACCAGGCCGCTCCGGCAGGGCCGCTGCCCCTGCTCCCCGCGATGCCTCTGTTTGTGCTGGGGACTTCTCTCTGTAGCAAAGGGCGCTGTTCCTTGAGCGTCTGCAGCAAAGGTCTCCACAGCACCCCCAGAGTAAAGGGGTTTCCTCTACTATGAGATTGTGCCTGAGGGAAAGCAGACAAGCAAACCCTTATGGCAGGTTAATGTACCAGTCTGCAGACACGTTCCAGAGGCTGCCGTAGCAGGACTTGTGCCATTTCCTACTGACACCTGCAATACAGTGCTTGATTCCCAACTGGATGCTGGTCTGTGCCATCAGTGTGCTGCTGTTGGCAGTTTTGCCAAGGGGCATTTTTCTGATTCTGGGTACAGGGAGTCACAGTTACAAGACCTGAATTCTGCTCGTGGCTCAGTATCTGACTCTGACTATGTACAAATCTTAACCTTTGTCCTAATCTCCATAAAACAGCAATAATAAATGTACTTTGCAGAGGGCAGACTGAGACCTGTGCAGAAGGTGCCTCAGAAGTGGAGTTCTTCTGAAATCGCTGTTGATTTTTTGATCTTCAGCATAGGCCTTGGCTTGAACAGCTGCACTCTGGCAGAGATTGGAGGCTTATTGCAAAGTAGGAAACCGTAGTCCTTAGACCTGCCACCTTGCAAGACCTTTTCAAGGGTTTGGACTATGTTTTTTTATTTTTTCTTTTTTTCTTCTCGCTGGGCTCAAGGAGGGGAGTGTGTATGGATTTGTAGCTTTTGGCTCCCATACGAACCATGTAGCCCTCGCCCTCCAATGTCAGTAATTCATCTACTATCTTTTGTTTGTGCATACTGTTTCTGCCTGAAACCAAATTGTTGATAGGTAATACATGTCATAAGCATGGGATCAGAAATGAACATAATGTTTTAGGCAGGGCACTTAGGGTGAGGTGGTTCATAAAGAATATGACAGCAGCTGGATGCTGGCCAAGAGCTGAGGACTTGAAAGTGTGTGTAGAATTCATCTGCATCCTGTAGCTGACCCCTGGAAGGACGGGCACTTGTCTAGCTACGTGGGACAGGGAGTGGCAGCGTTGGTTGGGCAGTTTTGGTAAGCCTCCCGTGACTTGTGTTGCATGGATCTTTCTTCTCATTCCAGCACAGACCAGGTGAAAGGTGTGTTGACGCTGCAGGGAGATGCCCTGTGTCAAGCTGTGAGTACTTGCTGTGGTTCTTTCTGTGTACTACCATCACGGGGTGGGAGTCAAGGGAGGGTTCATCCTTTGGTGACCTCAAGTGAATGTTCATCCTTACACTTTACCAGTGACCAATAAGTATTCTTTATCAGTCTTCCCTAATAGGCCTTAAATCCTTAACATTTCAGCAACTGTTAGAATTTGTTGAGATCCAGCATCTAACCCCTCCACACACACACTCTGGGGTGAGTGGTGGAGTACACTCTCATGGGGATTCCTTGCCTTTACTGGCTTCATAGTGTAATATCAGATTTCCTTGGGGGCCTTCTGAGGTGAGGTTGTGTCCTGCCTGGATCCCAGATCGCTGAACGCCTTTCATTTTATCCTTTGTTGTTAGCATCTTCTTGTAGGAGGACTGAGGTTCTGGCCATGCCAGAATTGCTGAAAGCATCTTGCCCAGATGGTCTGGAAGACAGAATGGTGAGGGTCTGACAGTCTCTATGCATACTGGGATTGCATGCTCTCACATGTTTGTTTCTTCCTTCAAGGACGTTAATCTGAAAATTCCCAGAAATAATCAGCTTCTGCACTTTGCATTTCGGGAAGACAAGCAGTGGAAACTGCAGCAGGTACTGGTAACTTTAGATGCCTACCCCTCTGTAGCACGTGAGCCCTCCAGGCAGTGGCTGTAGCCCTTCACTTTCTGAGAGTCAAGGTAATGTCCATCCCACCTTTGCTCCGGTGGTAAAAGCTAAGGAAGGAAGCAGATGCAGTTAAATTCAATCATGGTGTTAGGAGAGCGAGGTGGGTTTTGCTTGGACCTGAAACACCAGCAAGCTGAAGGCTGCCTGCATAGCAGTCATAACGCTTTAAAAGGAGTGCCTAGGGTGCCTGTGCACCTCATGGCTGCTTGTAAAACCCAGGCTAGCAGGGCAAAGAGCAGCTTCAGAGGCTTTGCGTAGGTTGCTCTCATTCTGGTAAGGAAGCGTTTCTTCATGCTGAGAGCAAATCTCACCACATTGTGCTATTGTAGCATAGCTGAGTTCCCTCACCTAAGGGAGTTAGAGGGATGTGGCTATGCAGAACATTGAATCTCTTTCCCACCATTGTGTTATCAGGAGATACCTGATCTTAGGACCTGACCTAGTGCCTGATCTTGAAGGCAGTTTCCCACAGTTACTTTGTTGTAGCGGAGTAGGTTGAAGAAAGATGTATTCCATGTGATTTGCTGTGCTGTGGTTCAGCTTTTTCTAGGCGATCCGCACATTTGGCATGGAGTGCAGTTTCCAACAGCTGATTTGGCACTGGAGTGGCTTCTACCTGGTAACCTTGTAGAAATTTAGAAAATTGCGTACTTGAGAGATTTATGCCAAACTCGCCTGAGTTTGTTTATGCCTTGCAACAAGGCAGAGAAGTTTTTGTGATAACACTCAGCAGTGCATCCTGTTTTGTGGCTGGTTTGTACTGCTGCCTGGTTAGTAGGTTTCTAGCAGCTCTTACAGAAAACACCTTCCTTTAGAACACAAAACTCTTGCAAGTAAGTAATGTTATTCAGATGTGGAATGTGAGCGCCTAAAGGCCTCTGTGCAAAAGCTTTTACATTGATTACGTGGAGATCTTTGTCCTCTCTGAATTAAAGGTGTCTCCAAGTATTGGGAGCTTCTTCCCTCAGTCCGTGGGGCCAGCTGAAGTTTTGTTTCTCTGTGCAAAGCAAAGTTATCAGTAAGAAATTGTAGTATAGGCACATTTTTGAGGAACACAAGTGCAGTCACACAAGTTTTAAGGAACTCTATTAGAAACCAGAGCAAAATCAAGGGGGGATAGGAATGAAGCAAGTCCTTATAGTAGCAGGATTGGCATTGCTGGGTTGGATAACACTGCTGGGGTAACTTAGCTTGAGGGAAAGCATCTGGGAGGTGTAAAGGCTGGAGGTGGTGATGTTTAGAGATGCCATAGCCCAACTACCTGCAGAGTCTTTCTGCAGTCTGACAGTGGACTTTATCATCTCTCTCATTTCTGTAGCCACCAGTGCCTTGTGCTTTCCAAAAGCAGGGCTGTTCTGTGATCCCTGAGTTCCAGATGCGAAGGAACCAGTGCCCAGATCTATGCCAGCAAGGCCTCCACAAGGCTGAGCTGGAATCTGGGGTTGCTGGGGAGCAGTGTATCTAGCTACAAATATCCGAAGCTGTGTTATCCATCTTCCAGCAACCACCTCTCATACAGGCTTCCCTGATCACCTTTTCCATGTATTGCACCCTCTGATTTACTCCTTTGCTCTTTTTCGATTTTTCTCCTGCTGCCTGGAGCTGAACACAAGTCACTTTCTCACAGGGCTAGTTTCTGTTTCCTCTGGTTTGTCCTTGCTCCCATGAAAGCACTGGGATACACCTGTCAGTCTTGCTTTGATAATTGTCTCCTGACTGCAAGTGTTCTTACTTGAGAAGGGCTTGAGCTAGCTGTGTTCTGAGTCTGGTCAAGCTCCACACAAGTGGTGCGATGCTGGAGGCAACTCTCAACTCCAACAATTGTAGTTTAGAAGGACTCTGGAATACTGCTGGTGACACTATATGAGAAATCAGCGTTTGCTGCTTCTTGCTGCTATTGGTGTCATTTATGTCATTGGTTTTACATCTGCTAGTCCCTAAGAAAAAAATCATTCGTGTTGCTAGACCTGACTGCTGTACACTATCAGCAGTGAGAATTCCTACCTGAACAGTCATGACTGGAGTCCTCCCAGGATGAGTGCCTGATGTCACTGTTCCTTCAGGGCAGCAGCAATGTTTTTGTTAACAGTACAGGTTGTAGCTATTGGACTGTTTTGCATCTCCAGTCTTTGCGTGAAGACCTCAGTAATGCATCTGGGCAGCGGTGGTAGATTAGTGTTAGTGAGTGTCTGGTACTCGGAGAGAAATGGCCTTAACATTTGAGAAGTCACCATTTTCTTCGGGCCGACAAGCTAATTGGGGAAACCTCTACTTCCTAGTGTGTATTGCAGAGTGTGTTTCTTTACTAGGGCTGCATTTGTACCTTTGCAGATCCAGGATGCTAGAAACCACGTTAACCAAGCCATTTACCTGCTTATGAACAGAGATGTAAACTACCAGTTCAAAACAGGCTCGGAGGTTCTCAAGGTGAGGAGAAAGCCCTCTCTACTTGGGTAGGAACGTGCATTTTTTTCTTCCCTCCATTTGTTGTTTTAAACTTGATTAATGAACGTTACTGTCTCGAGGCTCTTACTGGAAATGTATTCCCCAGTAGTCTCCATCTGTACTTATGTCAAGCAGTCCATATGACCTCATACTTGCTGTGAATCGATACCAGTTTAGCATCATAACAGGGTTGTCCATCGCGGTGAGTGGTAATATGAGCAGTTAGTGCCCTGTTGCACAGCAGTAGTATGCTGAGAGCACCTCCCTTGATCTCTACCAGAATTTGGACTTACTCATGAGAATCCATCACAATATCAAACATGAGAAGGCTAAAACTTTTTCGTCTCTGCATGGGCAAGGGCTGCCAATAGAAAGAAGCTGGCTAATAAAACTATTTCCTTTTTCCTTTTCCTGGTGAAAGTAGGGGTGGGAAATTGGTCATAAAATAAAATGCCTTCATCTTGTCAGTCATGAGCTCTCTAACAGACACATGTTGCTTCCCACTTTTTTTCTGGAAAAGGAAGTCTGCCTGAATAGAGCCTTTGGACTGTGGTTTCTGGCAGGACTGGTCTCACAATGAGCTGGTTCTTTTCTGTAGTGGCCTGGCTTATAGATGGTTAGGAATGGGGGGGCATTCAGCAGTACTTGTACCAGTGATGTGGGAATGGGGAGAACTAGAACACAGCCTGTTGTTTTTCCTTAATGCTTGCTCTTCAGAAGAGCTGATGATGAGTTTGTTGATGCTTCTGTGGCATCAGTAATTGATCTCATGTTCTTACTCTACTAATGAATAGCTGTTCCCTCTTCAGTCCCTGGTATTATATGCCTGGCCTGTCTCACAAGTGTTTATGATGGTGGTAACAGTTAAACTGCATTTATGTGGGAGCCACCCCTTCCAAATAAGTTCCCTGAATTACCCTGGAAGGTGAGGGGGTGTTGTTGTTGGTTGTTGTAATACTTGCAAAAGGCTGTAGGATTCTGCAGCATGCTATCCAGACCTGTCCAGGGACTGCCTCTCAGCCGTACACTGTGCGTTACCTTGCAGCTTATGGATGCTGTGATGTTACAGCTCTCAAGAGCCCGAAATCGGCTTACCACTCCAGCCACTCTGACTCTACCAGAAATTGCTTCTAGTGGTCTCACAGTAAGTATGTGGTGGTCTAGATCTCCATACAGTCTGGCAGCATGCAACAGTTAGGATACTGTGCTGCATCCTGGCGCGGTAGATTTCTGAAATGTCTCCTGAGGGAGAGAGGGAGCTGAACAAGGTGCAAACCCTGAGCATCTTTGACTGCTCAGTATATGCTTTTGGAAAGCAGATGAGCATGAGGACTCTGGTTCTCAAAAAGTAAGTTGTGTTCTTTGCCCAGGAATCTTGTCCAGGGATGGTTTTCCCTTGTGAACACTTCTCCATCCTCTTTTGCAACCATCGTACATACACCATTTGATGAAGTGCAGCAACAGGAACAACCATTGCCTGCAAGATGCTCAGTCTGTCTTTCTTTTCTAACAACCCTCTCACTATGGGGCACTTGTCATGTGGCTTAGGAAAATGTAGTGATTTCCCAGCATTAGAAATAATGGTCCATTCACTGACAAAGAAACTACTTATTTTCTCACCAGAAAATGTTCACCCCTGCTCTGCCTCCAGACATCCTTGTGAATTTCTACATTAACCTCAATAAGCTGTGCCTGACTGTCTACCAACTCCATGTGCTGCAGTCCAGCACAACCAAGGTGATGCCTACTGTCTCTTCAGCCTTGTTTATTTACCTCTCCCTAAGTGCCACTGTGAGGAGGAGATCACACTGCTACGTGGTGCCATGTTGTGTGCATAAGATAACGCAGAAATTACTGTGACTGGTGTAAAGTGTCTGTGTTTAGATCTGCTGCAGACAGAACACTGGCTCTAAATCTAGTTTGGGGCATGGCCACGTAGCCCAGAAGAAAACACCATTGCTCTAGAGAAGGCCAGTAACTATTTTTTGCCAGGTTATGCTTCATCGTACCCTATAGTTTATAATTTTGCGTAAGTTTGGAAAGGCATAATTGTATTAATCCAGTTTACATCTAAGTAGCATTTTGGGGTTTTCTAAATGGAGTTTTGAAGGATATTTTTCTGTTTCACCTGTTGCATTTGTGTCAGCTTGATGTCCTGTAAAAACAGAATTAAACTCATAAGCTTTATGAAATTCAGTAGTTCCACAAGCACATTTTTCCTAAAATCTATTTGTTGTTTTTCTTCCGGATCTTCTTATCTTTTGTGGTGATAAAATTTGGAGCTACGTTGGACTCAGCCGCAGTGTAGAATATTTTTGGGAAGGAGCAGGAAGGAATTAAATGACATGGATTCCATATGAATGGAGTATTCGGGCATACAGTATAGGTATTTCTTGATGTCAGGCTACTGAAAGTGCAAACCTTAAATGTCCTCCTTCTAAATAGTTTGTTCACTGTGTCAAAATCCTAATGACCTTTTCCTTCTCCTCTAGAACTTCAAGCCTGCTGGAGGGTCCATTTTACACAACCCTGGAGCCATGTTGTAAGTACAGTCATTGCAAGGGCTGTGTAACAGGTGTAGTAGCATTCTGAGGATGAGATCGAAGTGACTGTACACAGTTTTGATGGTAGCATCTGTTATGTGGAGAAGCTGGACTGAGTCACTTGCTTGGCCGTGCCTGTGAATGCACTGGTGCCCATAATAGTGCTTCTTTAATGACTCAGTCATAAAGGCCCAAAGATGTGACTTTCGAGGATACAGCCCACCCATACAGTGCCAGGAGTTTGTCTAGAGAGGAGAGCTGTCAACCAAAACAAACATTAAGTTATTGGCATTGCCAGGTGCAATTCCTGCCTTTGTGCCTCTCTGGAGTTTCTACCTTAACCCTATTAGATTAGCTTAATTCTAAATCTGATCAGGGGTAGACTGAGAGTTTGCATTCTATAACGCTACCGGGTGCTGTTTTAAATCACAGAATCACAGGATGGTTTGGGGTTGGAAGGGACCTTAAAGACCATCTAGTTCCAACCCCCCTGCCATGGGCAGGGACACCTTGCACTAGACCAGGTTGCTCCAAGCCTCATCCAGCCTGGCCTTGAATGTGGTAGAAATTGTCATGATCCTTTTTGTGAGAATGGTAGACAGTCGAGTTTTGTGTTCTGTGGTGGTGTGTGTGAAGCTGTGCTCTTCTTTCCCCCCGCTCCAGTGAGTTTGGCAACCAGAGGTATGAAGTCAGCCATGTCCATAAAGTGGAATGTGTTGTCCCATGGTTAAATGATGCCCTTGTCTTCTTCACAGTTTCACTGCAGCTTTGCCAGCAACTGAAGGACAAGGTAATGGCCTTAGAGAAGGGGCTCTGTTTTTAACTCTGGATTTTGAGAGGACCTCATATTTCCTAAAAATCTTGTATGATGTTATTCTGTGCAACTTGCATTATAAACTGAAAACAAGCAATGAGTCAGTGCTCTGGAGCTAGGGAGCTGGCTGGCATTGCCAGCTGAATGTGTGGCAGATGTGTTTGCTGAACTAGTGACAAGATGGAGAGGAGCAGGTAGACATTGTTGTGTTCTCAGTCATGAGCTAGATGTGAGGAAATGCCAGGGTGCTGGAGACGAGTCATGGAGACCTCAGAAAACTAGATTCCAGTTGACCGGCATTCAGTTCCAGCTCTGCAGCTGACCTGGTTGCCACCTTGAGGATGTAACTTTGTGCTTCAAGCCTCTTCAGTGACAATAGCAGCAAATCTGCCCTTCTGCAATGCAGTGCTGGCGTGTGTAATGCTGTAAAGCTCAATCTTCACACACACGTTACATGCTTTCCTCTGTGTCCGAACGAATACAGGAACTTACTGCTTTTCTTCTTGCTTTCCAGATCTCCGTTTTCTCCAGTTACTGGAACTACAGACCATATTAATTCTCTGTGGAGTGTCCAAGTCCTTACAGTACTTCCAATGTCTCCCTGTGTTTTCAACATGCCAGCTGAATCCAGGTCAGCATGAGGAGTGCTGCGGTTCACTACCTTGTGGCCTTCCATAGGGTAGGGTCAGTGTATCCAGACACAGCGTTAGTAACCTTGTTGGGGACTGCTGCCTAAGCAGGGCACCACGCAATATTGTGTGGCTGGTGAGAGCTTCCACTGTCTTTGTTCTCATGTGGCTTGTGTGGTTTACACTTTCCAAGCCTCTGATGAATTACACTAGTCCATTACAAGGGATGAGGAGCTGCGGACCTCTCTAACTGTATTTGCACACAGTGCTGTAACTAATTGCTGAACTGTGAGCTGGCTGGGAAGGGATGAAGACAGACTAAAATAACACACCACAAAAAGTGTGGGGCATGCTGCTCCACATAGTGAAATATGTTGCTGTGATCTGGTCCAGATGTGTTTTTGACCAGCCCTGAACTTCTCCCTCTCCTGTGTTCTGTCCCTGTCCATATTATTGATTCCCCTTTGGGGATATTCTTGCTGCTGTTTGAATTCTTTTTTTTTTTTTTTTTTTCCCCTGGCATCAGTGTGATAATGTGGGGCTTTTTTTTCCCTGAATCCTAGTTGGGCCAATTGTTTTTTTCCAGGTTTAGTATCTTGTTTTCACTCCCAGCCTCAATACCTTGAGCACAGGTGTGCATTCTCACATCCTGTCATTAAACCCAAAGTGAGTACCACATTGTTACTGCAGTTTGCTGCCTATCTGTGGATGCTACAGTATGTAACTAACCCCTCTAGCCATTGATAACTGTGAAATAAAGATGCTCAGATCTGCCGTGCTCCTGTGGGCTGTCAGTGCTGAGAATGAAAGAGTATCAGAGATTATGTGCTCTCTTTCAAGTGAGTGGCCGTTCTGAGTTATGCATGTTGGATTACTGTTGGCCTTACTTGGAGGACACTAGTGGTGTCTAAGGGCAGGGTTGGGCAGCTCTGCGAAGGTTGGGCCTGTTTTCTGCAGCCTCAGCCCAGTGCTGTCTGATACTACCTGAAGTACTTTTCCAAACCACTCTTGAAGGTCTTGTTTGGAAGAGGCTGTAGGTACTCCACACTTTTTTTTGCCTTGGTCTTTACTGCCAAGGGCATAAGCCATATCCCCAGAGTGAGGGAAGGCAAGGACAGGGACTGGGAGAATGGAGAACCACCCATGATCAGTGAGGATTGGGTTCAGGAACACCTGAGGAACCTGAAGGTGCACAAGTCCACGGGACCTCATGGAATACATCCGTGGGTCCTGAAAGAACTGGCAGATGAGGCTGCAAAACCTCTATCCATCATATTCGGGAAGCCATAGTGGTCTGGTGAAG